CCTTTAATTAAAGGCATGCCCCAGGATCGCACTGGTGTGGCTCTCTCACACGAATGTGAATGTATCGGTGCCAAGTGGGCCGGCAGTGAAGAAAAAAGGAAAAGAATCCGTCGAAAACGCTCAGGTTGAGGGCTCACTCACCTTCCTAATTGGCTGTGCTAAAGGAACGAGAGACTAAGCGCGAAGAGGAGAGTATGGGGCGAGAGAGCGCATCAGATGAGAGAGCACCAGACAACGGCCTGATAAGAGAGCTCGTTCGCTGCAGCTCGAGCAGCTTACTTTGCAAGCCCAAAGCGTTCTTGTCGGTCGAATTCCGTGCACGTGAACGCCACATTTGTGATTGTCCCCTAGGGTTCTATACTTCTGACCGAAGAGAAGAGTTCACACGACCTCTGCCTGGGTTGTGCCTTTAAGTAATAATTACCACAAAGAAGACCCGTGTCGAATCGGATAAGAAGAGATCGACCCTCAGTTGGAGCCCTTAACGAATCGTCCGAGGAATTATTACACCCAAGTATAGAGAAGGTTTCAACTTTAATGAAGTGCAGCTGGAGCTCACCATACGACATCACGTAAATTTGATCGTGCCATGCGCAGCAAACAACGACAGTCACTCACAGCCGAGGTCTGTCTCACTTGATGTGAGCTTTATTCTACACCTTCGCCTTCTGAACGAATTTCCACTTCAACAACCGGTGGCACTGAGGGTGAACAAGCTGACTATCAGTTGCCACCGTTGTTCGAGTGGAAAGCGACAGACATGCCTGTTCCATCAGTGGCACCGGGCGCGCATGTACGAAACGAGCGCGACGCTGCGTTGTGTGACTTCTTGCTACACGCCGAAAGCTTTTGCGTCTGGCTCTTCTCTCTCGAGCGTTAGTCCGCGGCGCCGTCGCAGGGTCCGCTGGCTACAAGCCGAATAGCGTCTCACTCAAACAGTACGGAGTCATTTTGAGGAACACGACGCTTTTCTAAATCAAATAATGCCATCCCTTCAGCAACCCTGGCAGGGTCACTTGGCTAGCATTGCCTAAGAAATGGATCACTACACAGGTAGCCAGTGTCGACTCGAGGAAATTTCTGAGCAGAAATAGGGTGGAAAAAATGCGAAAAAGTAAAATGTTTCTTGTTTTCAAAAAAAAATGCATACAACTGAGACGTAACTCATTTCATTTATTCACGTTAGGGGAACCACCAAACTGTATCTTCGCCGTAGCATGCGATGGTAACATAGCGAATGATCGGTGACATCTGCCTTATCCCCACAATGAAGTTTTTCAACTGAAAAAAATAAATTTATGATTTTAGTCTCACTAGCTGGAAGCTCTCGGAGGGGGGGGGGGTTGGAGCGGAAAAACTTCATAAGAGGAGTAGTGCTAGCATTTCGCCCATGTCGGCCATACTTTCATTATGTATACTTTCCCGTATTCGCTTTTAATCCTTTGGTTTGCTCCTCTCTTCACTGTGGAGAGCAGGGAATGGTAGTGCCTTAATCGAAGCCCTAGTGAACCTTTAAACGAACTTACGAAGGCACATCCATGCACAGCAAGTGGCGGGGTGCACTATCCTTGGTAGGCCCTTCATCTTTGCCATTTTGAATGGCTGGACCAACCAATAAGAAGGAACCACTGCTCCAACCAGTTTCGCTCATATTCTAGCGAGGGAAACTGCCTCTCAAAAGGCTAAGCTGACCATCTTTGGGTCAATCGCTGTATGTTCTTGGTGTTACACCAAATTGCACTAATGGGAGCCCCGTCGTGCAGCTAAATGCCACTAACCACAAGATAACGAATTCGTCACGGAAGCGGTCAGTCCTCCGTAAATAAGACGAAAGGGTCCAAAAACGTTGTGGTATACCTGATCGCACTCCACACCGACGACGGCGTAGGTGACAGCGAATTTCCCACCGTCGTTCCGCGGTTTCTCATCAATCAAGTTGTTGTTGGTTATCAGTCCTTCTTCTTGTGCATGCTGCTCAATCTGAATCGTAGCGTTACTCTGAACTTCTTTAGCGCTTAATAATTCTTGGAATAGCTATAGCGGGACAATGAGCGACTCTATGACGCTCCTACGTTCCCTCTATTGGTAGCCAATTGCTTACCGCGGATCTGACCACTCCCATGTACGAGTTAGTCAATTCCGGATCGTAAGTTTTGGTGGGTGACAACAGTCACTTCTGCTTCGTGAACTTCACGTTTGGCCTTCTTAGAAGAAGCACCGCCAGCAGCGGCACCACCTGCCGCGCCACCCGCTGTCGTTGTTGTTTGGCAACCCTGAATCCTGGTAAGGCTGAGCATTCCTCGATTTCCAGCCGAAAATACAAAGCAGTGAGGGTTTCTTAGGTGACTTACCAGGGATAGAGCGACGAGGCTGAGAAGGATAACCAGACGGAACATGTCGATTTGATTATGATGACGGAAGCTTTCCACTGTCGGTTTCTTTTATTCGTGCTGAAGAACGATCCGATCGCTATTGAGTTCCATTCCGCTGTCATGAAGATGTTTGCAGATGATCACGTTTTAATGGCTCCCTTTTGACACCCCATTTCTGCCAATAGAGGAAGCATTAAGGCGAACAGTTTCAGTATGGGGCATCATGGCGTCATTGAACCCACAGGTATAGTTACCCGCTAAACTATTCGTGAGTCATGGTGGACGGGCAGAACAAACTTTGGAGGTACAGGAGATGACTTCTCAGAGGACCAGTGATCAAGTGGAAGCGCCACTCTAAGCTATCCATAGTTCTATGTCGGAACTTCTTGCGTAAAACTTCTATTAATCAACTCTCGCTCTTGAACTGTCATTTCTAAATCTGCTATACGAATAGTACGCTTCCCTTACCATAGTATCGCCCATTTTCCTCACATCATATCCAATAAGTATGAGTTCACCTCATTCTCCTTCATATCGCTGGAACGAGGGTATGCTGCCATGTTTGCCATGCTGAAGGTAAATGGATCAATGAAATAATTTGTGCATCAATTGAATGTGTTTTATCTTTGAAAATAAACACTCTATTTCCCAGCTTTTTCCACTTTAGTTTTGCTCAAGAACTTCCCGAGCCGGCACCGGCGACCGGTGCGGTCATCCATTACTTGAGCAATTCTAGTGAAATCTACTGTTCTTGCCAGGGCCACCTGTCGAAGGGTGGTGGCATTATGTGAGCTAGAAAGAGTTCGTGCTTCTCGAAATAGCGTCGTATTTGTTTAAATGAGTCCTTGATGGGATTGTAACAAGAAGTCAACACGCGACATCGCGCACGTTTCGTCATGCCGCGCGCGTGACAACTGATGGGGCTCTTCGATCCGAGTGTTGACCGATGTAGATGGGGATGGCATGAAATAAAACACACATCAATGATAGTGGGGAGGTAGCTCAAACTCGGAGCACTGACGGCAAATATGACGAAATTTGATTATTATCTTATATTAATCATAGATATTTATTATTTTAGGGGTGCTTTAATTAGTGTCACACTTAGAGTTGCCCATTCCGCTGGGAGGCTAATCAAACGCCGAATTGCTTCATGGTATTATCTCGGAACATAGAAATATCCTCTTGAAATCAGTTGTCTTTAAAACCTTTCAGAAGAAATGATAAAAAATAGATTGCATTGCAGCCACAGGTCAATTTTGTTCATGGCACTGAGCAAGCTAGAGTTAGGTCCGTGAAACTCGTCCAACGCGCCCCTTCTCTATCCAAGGTGGAATGCGGCTGAAATAGGGAGGTGCTCTGTCGCGGGTCGTAATCAATGGTTTCGTTTGATTTTATTCTGTTTTCCAGATCATCTCCCACCTCTGGCTTCATAAGTGAACGCTTTTCTGCACCTATTTCAATCCCGAATCTTGCCTTTAACTAGATTTGAAACAGTAAACTTGCGCTTTGTATGAGCCGAGGGCGCGCTCCAATGCTTGGACGGTCCTGAATAGAAATGGACTGCATGGCGCATCTTCAGGGGGTTGAACCAGGGTCAACCGTCCGTTGGACAAAGTCCAACGGGGGGGGGGTCGTATTTGGCTGCGCCAGAGGGAGGGGGGTCGTATTCGCAGGAGTCAACGTTGCAGTACGAAGAGGTTTTTGGGTGTAGGTGACGAGAGGTGGTTTTCGCTATAAGGAACTTAATGGGCGTTGTGATGAAGATCGCAGTTGTTGGCTCTTGCTGGGACCATCGAACGATTAGAATCAAGACTTAGTTCCCGCGGCAGTAGGTGAGAGGTAAAACTTCAGAGTGTTTCTTCAAATATTGAGCACAAGCGAGGGCATGGCGCACACCAGAGCAGAAGAGTCTACTGCGAAAGTATCCATGCTCACGTACACAAATATAATTCTAGAGGTGAACCAATGCCTTCAAACTGGACATAAGTTAGTAAAAGAGTAACCACTATGGTAGATTGACTTCTAAAGTGCTACAAGAAAAGTTTGGAAACAAAAATATTTGCCTGTCGGCAACTTCTTTAGAAAAGGTTCATCATCTCTAATGAAGCACAAAGCTCGTGCGATGTCACGGTATCATTATTCCCGATAAAATTGAGTTTGAAGACAGTTATCAGTGTTTAAGTGTTGAAAACCTGCGTTTTCAGGAGAGTAGCTCCGAAAATTCGTGAAAAAAGAACGGTCCAACGGAGCGATTCTTTGACTCCTTCGACTTTAGAAGGAGCTCAAGTATTCAATGGAAAGCTCTAACCTTCTGCTTCAATTCAGGGGGATAAGACTGCAAAAAGTGCAATCTGAAGAAAGTTATAACAATTTGAAGCCAAAAAACCTGCGCTCTCAAAAAAATCGGTCCACGATTTCCCAAGAACGGTCCAATGGGGCGATTTTTTGACTCCTTCGACTTTAGAAGGAGCATAGTATTCAAGTATTCAATGGAAAGCTCTA